GGCGCAGATGCAAATTAATTATTGAACAATGAATAATGTCGTATTTAAATTTATTAATAAATGTGGGAGCTGATGCTGAAATCCGGCTGATGCTGAAACTAATCAATGGGAGAATAAAATCTGACCAACCAATGAAAGTTCATGGTTTCAGCTTCAGCCGGATTTCAACATCGGCCGTGACAATAAATCTACTGGATTTTAGCTATCAAATGAGGTATTAATCATGTTGATTGCTACGATAGTTGTTGCACAATGATCAATTACGTGCTAATTGCCAATAATTTCTTTACACCCTGTACGTCAAATGACTACTGAGCTCATAAATTAAAGCACGCTTACAAAAATAAGGTAAGCGTTCTTTTGTTTAGAATGAATATTTACTCAATCTTTCAATCCCGCCAAAAAATAATTATTAGAATTCTAATTAGTAAAAAAGCCTAAAAGCAAAGACGATTGGAAAGGATTATTTAAATGTCAATTATGTGTATAATAATAATAATATAAACAGAAAGCACAATTACAATATTTAAACTTTTTCTATCGATAGACAAACTTCTATTTTGCTACTAGTTCCCAAATACAATATAAGGCAAGAAATTGGTCAATTTAATCTTTGCTGGTATTTCTTTTTCATGACTCTTAATCAAAAAATTTTAATGTAATCCAACTAATTTTAAATTTGGACCCACTTCTCAATACAAGGTCCTTTAATTGTACTTTATACCATTTACTTTATTCCCAACAGCATAGGAAATGGCTTGTTATACATCTTTATGTTACTTAAGATAGAATATATTCGATTCTTTCATTTCAAAAGACGGATTATCTATAACTCAAAATAAATTACTTGACTTCAAAACCCTAAGGCTTTTGTATTAGAGAAAAACTGATCCATAGAATGATAGAATCAGATGAAAGAGAGTAAAAGTTACGGTTTAAAGTAGAATTTTCGGACTTGTGTGAGCCTTTATGTAATGATCCGATATCAAATAAGTTGGTAACATTCATTATTTCGACCAATTAAAAGAAAACATAAAAAAGTGTCTCGAGATAAGAGTTAAGGAATTATATCTCCAACCAGATTTTCTGGGCATTTGTTGAAATGATCGAAAATTCTGGTCACGTTTGTATATTTTTTCCAAAATTTTATCGCGAATCAAATTCTATTGAACACTATTAGGGAGCAGCCAAACAATATGCAAGAAATAATTGTAATTATAAATGGAGCGGATTACAAGAAACAGTTTCTCGTGCTCTCAATTTCGTTGATTTAGTAACAATTCGTAGATTTGCGCAAAAAACGTGGCGATGCACGTATAGCCTAGCGAAAAAAATTCGTGACTCCTGCGGATTGCTGCTTAGATCAGGACTTGGGGGATACTCTCTTTGACGTGGTTTGCTACGTCTTAGTAGCCTACTCCTTCAACCCTGCATCTAGTATACTGGACATATGCTTCCTACCGTCGTGTGTGCCTAGTTAAATATTTAGTGACCCCGCGTCTGATGTTTGGCAAAGGCAGTTCAGGATACTCTCTATGACGTGCTTGATGGCCTACTCCCGAGCTTCTTTACCAGAAAGCATTATGTCAAGCCAACGTTTATCCCTGAATTGTTCCATTTTCTCACTAAAGATTTTTTTTGTCCAAAAAATGATTTTAGAACATCACATATCAGACTCGAGCGAATATAGCACACGGAGTCTCATCGCTTTGATATCTGTCTCTAACATTTGATTACACCAGTGCAAGCATCGATGATATCATCAATAATTTCGTGATGTTGCTACAAAGCCGAGAATCCAGTAGTGCATGCTTGCAATCGGCAAGGAAAAAAGCAATGAAGCTTGCCAACAGTGTAGCTTCAGGCAGAAATAAACCAACTTCTTTAGCGTCAAGACCTGAGGTTTGATATACTTGTACAACCACAGAAAACTAACTCCAAATAGCATGTAATAAAAACAATATACAGCAGAAGTTGGTAAGAGATAATGGTGGTGAGAGTAACATGTCAGAAGTTTCAGTCAGTAAGTACGGCTTCTAATGGCACAAAGTTTTGGCCACTATCTATATGGTCTCATGTTGTGATTATACACGTATATATGCATCAAACATGGGGAGACATATTCTTGCCGCGAGATCACAGTCGTTAGAAACTTTTATATTTATTTGTGCAATATGTATACTTTGACCAATAAACTCACAGTCGTTAGAAACCACGAGTTCCACTCGGGCAACATCGGTTGCTTTGATGAAGCTGTTTATATTTCTTTTCGTCCATTAATTGTATGTCGAATTTGTAGGGCTCGGATGATGTGATTAGCAATTTCTTCGACATTCCGAATTCGTTTACTAACCGGCTTATATCGAAGTCGACAACGTGGGGGGAATGACGACGTATGGTAGTTCGCAAAGAAATGTGTTATCAAGGTTTTGAGTACCACTAATGAGCATAATCTTTAGACCGATTCTGAATCTATCTTTTCCATCTCTTCAATATTTGACAATTCAGGTTCAGACTATATATCCAGGTACTGTATGATAACCACTATATCCAAGAAGGCAATCAACCTGCAACCCGTTGATTTTTAGGCTCACCATTTTCGTATTCTCTAGCGATACCGATGGTGCAAAGCCCGCATCATTATTACTCCAATCAAAGCTGAAGTATTTTATCTAGTACTATACAGGAATGAATAATTCCAAGAAATGGACATTGTCTTCAGGAACATGTGTCTCTATCATAAGGGAAAAACATTGTCGACTGAATCCCTCATACAATCTTGGACTATTGACTTACTAACTAGATTAGTAAGAAACCTGCTGCGCAAGCTGCACAGCGCCAAATGTTAAATAAGGATGGGTTTCATTTGACGTCGACAAATATGTCAGTTACATGCAGGTTGCTACACACAAAAGTAATAAAACGTATATATTGGATTACCCATATATGAAAAATAGCGAATACAATGGCTCTACTGAATTTGAAAAAGCAATACGTTTCTTGGAGCTAGGTTGTAATTGTGGTTGCTCAAAAAAGATTCCGAGAGAAGATTTTGCCGAGGCGTTTCTAGATCCGAACTAGATATATTTTCAATGGTTCAGCTGAAAGCAGTGAATGGTGGAGAAATAGCTGCCAGCTGAGCGTAATAATAAAAGAACTTTTTATTATTGAGATTGCAATACGCCGCTTTGTCAGAAAACGTATCTCAATATGTTGGGAATTGGTCGCACTTGGCGACGAATGGTATAATACTGCGCGTTTATGGTAATGTAAAAAGAGTGCCGAGATGGAAAACTAAAATATAGTCGTTGCTACCGCCGTGAAGAATTTTCTCGAAAACTATGCTGAAATTCATGGATTACCAAGTCCTGGTAGAAATATCAACCGTATTACTCAATCGCTTAGCGTACAAATCAGTCTATCGTAATTTTATTGCAGGTCTCGAAAACGATAGCACATTGAAATTTGACGCGTTTCGCAAGTTACGGCACCAATTAACGCCTTATATTCAAATCATGAGTTTATGTGACATTATGTGCCAACATTTTCGGAACGGCACAGTATAATGCTCGTAAGGAAGAAGAAGCAAAAGATATATTAAAGAACATTTAGTTACGGCTAAATTAGAAAGAACAAAAATACGAAATTAGCAGAACAACAGAGAAAATTTGTAGATGAGCATTTTATGACAGGAGGTAAAGCTGATTATGTAGCGTTGATGCTACAATTACGATTGAGCACAAAATGTTCACGTTCCCCAACAGTTCTAACTTAAACTCGATAGAAATTTTATGGAGCACTGTTAAATGTGGATAGGCATATGCCAACAAATTGGAGCAATTATGGCAGAAGAATGGAATGATATTAAATTATGTTCTAATTAGTCTAGTTCAGTTAATAAACCAATGGTGTGAGCTGATAATAGAAAAATGGTGAATATATTTCCTACTAAATTCTATACAAATATACACATAGTTTCTAACAGTTGTCGGGGATTAAGAAATAATTAGGTAATTTTTGTATCAATTAATTAAAACAATAAAGTTTGCCCGTTAAACAATTGGTTCAGTTAATATGATCTAACTGTAATGTACTTCCACTAGTGTCTAGTTATAGTTAACTCTTTTGAGCAACAATGGGTAAACTTTGCTTTGGATATTTTGTTGAGAGCGAGTAATCAATGAACCATGCATAAAAGACTGCGTATTCAATTACGTGATATTGTCGTATTTTGGTTATTCCAAATTAAGTACAGTTTATGTATATACCGGAATCTCTCTAGACTGATTCTCGTGCTACCGTTCGTTTCATATGAAATTCCCGGGTCCGGCCAGACACAGCTATCCCAACCCGTATAAATGTATATAAATAGGCTATAAAATTGTGTTACCTTAAGAAACACTGAATTCAGGCACCAGATATTGTAGAAAGACATCAAGTTACAGAATATCTATGGTGCGAAAAGATGGAATTTAGCTGGCTGAACGAGTGACAACAATAAAGACATAATTTGTTCTTGGTACAGTTGTTGAGCTTGCAATTTATTTTTGCATGTAGTCAACGACATCTTACAACATTATTAGCATACATGGTAAACTGTCGTCATATATTACGACTGCCAAATTCGGTTACGAATAACCTCTTTTAACGTTCCGGCGGTTATCTACCGAAAATCAACAATATTAACATTTAATGCTTGATGCAAATCGTTGGGCAACCCCCCCATTTTTTTAATATACTAATTTGACCAAAATCAGTCCGGGGATATTACCAAACGGGATAATTAACATTAATTAATTACACGACATACGAGTTAATGAAAACAGGTTAAAAACTTTTATTTTTATTATTATTATTTTTTACTATAGACAAAACCCAATTTCAGAAAAAGGTCGCTGTTGCGTGTACAAATCTTTTTTTTTTTTGCTACCCTTTTTTAAAAAAATACAGAGTTGGTAATAGGAAACAAAGAAAACGTATCATGACATTAATATTTTTTTTTAGTTCTTAAGTGCATCGTCAATACGGGCCTGCGCGTCTGCCTTAGTGTCACAAGTGATAGAAGTACCGCGAGAATTAACCAAAGGAAGCACTTCACAGGACAATCCACCACTGCATGGCATGGATACAAATTTACCATTAACACACTGTGCAAAGTTGCCCTTGACGCAAGCGTTTTGGCCAGCTGTGCATGGTGAGTTGTCGTCAAGCTTTTGGAAGTCTTGGGCAAGCTTTATAGCATCTTTTGCATTGCAGGAGCGGACTGTGTTGCAATCTTTACCAAGCGAGGAATTGCCAGTTTTGGGGGCTTTGTCTGGCTTAGGAGAAGACGCAGGCGTTGTAGGAGGAGGAGACGCAGGAGTAGTAGAAGACGTAGTAGGAGGAGTGTTGGTTCCAAGAGCTGTAGCAATGCGAGTATCAGCATCCGACTGGGTGGCTGTTTGAAGAAGGAAAAGCAAAGAAAAACATTATTGTTATTACAAAGATCTTTAGTTAACGTATGCGTGTATACATCACAATAATTAAAAATACGATACATACTGCAGGTAATCGAGGTTCCGGGCTTGTTGACAAGAGGAAGAGCAAAGCAACTCGTGCCACCGGCACATTGAGTGACTTGGAACTTATTACCAACACACTGGGCAAACCCACCATCTACGCAAGCATTTTCTCCGGCAGTACATGGCGAGTCGGGAGTCAATTTTTTGAAATCATCGTTCAATTTCTGGGCTGCGACACCATTATCGTGTGCAAAAGGTTTTGGATCTTGCCTCTTGTTGAATGGTACGGCATTAGCAGATGCGAAAAGAGCAAGAGCAACGACTACGGCAGAGAATTTCATGTTTTCTTTATATGAGGAGTAAGGATAGAAAGAAGATAGAAAGAAAGAAAGAAAGAAGATAGAAAGATAGAAAGAGTATTTTTTTAGTTTAGTGAGTGTTTTCAAGGGACAAGCAAATGCTACCAGAGCAATTTGGGTTTTTGTCTAAAGAGATATTTTTTGGTGTGAAGAAAAATCGATGGAAGGAGGGGGCGTTTTTATATCTAAACGGGTGTTGCGGGAATAAAAATAGTATTAACTGTTTATGTAGTATGATTTTATGCACAGGCACTTTATCATCCATTTGTTTACCAATTAGGGAAGTGAGTGATTGGTGCGGTTTGAGGGGATTTGCGCAATATTCAATAAATTAGCAAGTATTATTGGTGAGTGGCTCGACGTTATAGATGTAAATACAAACAAAGGGTGAGTAAGAGATAAGAGACTATACACAAAAGATACACGGGGGGAAAGATACGAGAGGAAAGAAGAGGAAAAGGAAAAGGAAAAGGAAAAAAGTTGTTCAGAAAAAGTTAAAGTGTATTGTGCAAACAGAGATCACTGCAAAATAGTGATTGCTATATTAATTTAATGTCTTCTAGTGGATAATAGAAGCGCATGTTGCCGAGTTCTCTGGTTCTTTTAACATGAAACGCAAAAGACCGTTCATATGAAGACTGGATATCACTGGTGTTCCTGATGATGTTTCGACTTTAATAAATATTAGTACCAAAATATCTAAATCATCCAACTTGACTGCCTGATTAGTATATTCCCCCCTTCACCATTTGGGTTATAGACTAAGCCAATCAGAGTTTTTTTGCTTGTACGTTAAATAAAGAATGGTCTCATAAGATGATTGTTTATCTACAACGACCAGTAACAATGATTTCCACTTAATTGATGTTACGCTGCATGGTGGCGTAAGTAGTAAATGATCAAACTCAAGACAGCCAACTTTCCTTTGTTCACTCGCACAATATGACGGTAGCATGGAGAAAGGAAAAAAGAAAGGAAACAGTCACACAATAGAGTCGAATCAAAAACGTTGTCTGTTTCTCGGTTTGTGTCGCTCATCTCGAACACTTTGTCCTTCAATTATATCTTTTATTTCCTTTTTGGGTATTCAAGATTGAAACAGTCATTTCCTTTTGGGGTCTATGCCAAGAACGGGGGGAATAACAGAATAAACCATGTTCTCTAAGGTGATTGTCTATGTTTATACTAACCATTTTCCATAGCGAGTAACTGTCCGCAAGGTTATACATCTACTTTTCTTTGTATATAATTATGTTTTTGTTTATTCAATGCCCTTTAAACGTATAGCTTGCTTTGTAATAATGTTGCATCATAGATGCATGTGCTCTCTGATAGTATCTCTATTGAACGAATTCTCATAGTAACATAACAGTCCTTGTATTTGTAATATAATATATTGTTCCTCGTATTAGGTATACACAAGTATTGTCTATTATGCGGTTTAAATACAGATATTGATGTTTCGCGTTCGGCTCGTTAGCTAGAAATGTTGAAAGTACGATTCGATATCAGACGAATGAGAAGGAATCGTAAACGAAAAGCCTATAATTGATTGATATAATCGTTGATATATGAGAGCATAGAGTGTGGTTACATACAACCATGATATGAATGGAACACAGGGTTTACGTACATGCTATTATTTGGCCCGTGAACAATGGAAAGTGTGCTGCATGAAAAAAAAAACGCTTTTATCGAACCAGAAATCCTCTTATTGAACGTTCCAAGACATTAGACATGCGACCAACATATTGATAAACTATTTGGGACCCCTTAGAATAAAGAATGGTAATACTGTTGCATCAAATGATCATGCAGGTTTTTCAACATGACCTTTGTATCTTGTCCTTATTTTCTATTCTAGTCACGCATCACACCGAGTCCCCAAACCATGTGTTAACGAGAATAGCAATACGGGTTCACATCAGTGTTAGAGGATCTGCATGGAGATGTAAACAGTATCAAAATGTGATGTAGAATTTATGGTCTTAAACGTTACATCTCAAAGTTTGTGAACATCTAGATAAAGATTATTATTATAAACTCTGCGCTATGACACTATGTGGCGGTTTGAAACTGTAACAACTAAAGTGTCGGATCGTTCAAGTCACAAGTTTTGAGCAGATTATCGTTTCAACGTACTAGGATTTCATTGTCCCTCCCATCTTGCAGTTGATAAGGATAGGATAAAGTGAAGGTGTGATTAATAATCGGGCTTTAGACACGGGCGTACAAAACCCGACTTGTTCAGTTTCCCACTGGCGCACTTCTATATCGTAAGCACATTTGTGCAAAGCTTGCGTGTAGGTCTGTTCTCTAAATCAAACAAACCATGACATTTCTCAAATACCGAAATAATGTGGGGGCCCAGGTTACACTTGACGATCTTTGGGTTTAAACACTATCACAAGACTAAACGCCTTGGCAACGCGTCTTTCCTTGCACACTTAATTAATTATCTGCGCACGGAAGAAAATAATACCCGACTTTAAACACAAATCCAGTAAGTTATATTACTACAATCACTATTAATATTCATAACGTCAACATGGTCTTATTTTTAGCACAATCATATACGTCTGACAAGTTGATCATTTGCATGACGAATGTGATCTTAAAATAGACCCATTTACGCAAACGTATGGTACATGTTATCGACATACTAAGTATAGTGAGTCCTACTTCGATAGAGACACTTATTAAAAGTATGGCGAGAATGTGATTCCCCACCTCTCTCTTTTACTTTTGCGATTGGGCCATCTGAGACTTGCTGGACCAGCGCTATACGAAACAAATAATTTTGTTTTACATCGTGAAACTAAATTGCAGTTTAGTGCACACCTACACGATCGTGTGCACATAGGTTAAACTTTGTGATCAACTTTATTGATCAACTTGGGCTTACACTCTATATCATCTCTTCGAACCACATCTTTGAATCACAGCATATAGCGTAACATCTGTTTATTATTTACTATCATGTGGTACACTCTATGCTTTTTCCTTGTGACCATTAAATTGGTTCATTTCGCCAACTTTCCGAGTAATGCGGGATCGTGTGTCATTGCTAATTACATAAAGCATTTGATAAGAACACTGCTTGATAAATTACCCGATTAATTAAAACATATTGGCTAATCACAAAGTGTAACAACTGGGTCCTACGTCCACTTTCATGTCACACAATAATAATGATAATGCTAACCAAAATACGCAGTTCGATTAACGTTAATGTTTGTCGTCGGTTTATTCAAAAGAATGGTCCTAAAAAAGACCCAGACAAACTTTTGGTTGGGTGTGTTTTTGTGTCTGTTACCATACCTGTTGAACGCTGCTCTACTATTAACTGTTTATTAAGGCAACGTTCAATATAAACCTACAATATCGAAGATGCGAGTAACTGACGCGACATTAGCTAGTCTGGGATTAAACATAAAACTTGTGTGCAATCGTAATGATTGGCCACATTCTCCAGTTAATACTGTAATATGGGAAATCCGATAGAGTTATTACTGGACAATTGTACTACTACTACGTGTTTCTATTATCAAATGGTGTTCTAGAATGTCTGGCAATTCCCACCGATCTTCATCTATTATTGCGATAATCACTGGTAAAATATGCGCATTCGTTGCGCCTTTTTCTGTTAGATTATTGGCGGTTACTTGTAATATCTGTTCACATGTTTGTGTCAACAGCTCCATCCTTACTAAATTTAGCAAACACCAACATGATGGGCTAGCACAATCGAGAGTCAAAATCGTCAAAGAAAGTGTTCTTATTTCCAGAAATTGTGTACGTAATCGTAATACACGGCCTACACAGTATAATCTTATCACATGACATCTGTATGCAGTGTATGGGAAATATATGACTTCATAATGATGCCACATTTTTTTCCAGTTATAAAAACCCAAGCCCAAGATTGTTTTGCCCTTATAAACAAAGATGACTCCGCAAGAAATCAACACATCTGTAGCCACAAAATCCTCCGATGCATCACTCAACCCCGCCAAAGACTCGCCCGTGAATTTGTCGCCAAAAACGGACGAACTCTCAAACATTACGGTAGCAGTGCTAGACTCGGACTCTTTTCGTCCGCAAACCGTTCAATTCTCCCTACCCTCGCCAACTAATACTGTATCTACAAGTCCAATAACCCTCCAGTGCATGGAACTACCGTCTGATATTCTTGTCGCGCTCAAGGATCGCAAGCGAGAAATGGAAGACTTGGCAATAGTAAACAAGGACTTTTTCGAATTGATTAGATGTTACTTGGACGAGGATGAAGTGTGGGAAAAGTTTGTGACACTGTTGTACACACCGAGAGAAGTACTCCCGGACGGTGAATGGATGGATGCAGTGGCCAAGTACCTACGACCCAATCGACCATTGTTTGAAAGATTCCGTGAAATGGTTGGTTACGATTTAGAGACGGATCTGAGCGATCCAGAGAATGATGAAGAGCAAGAGGCTGTCGATCACGCAGACGAGGGCGAGGACGACCGTGACGACGACGATGGCTACGGCTACGGGAGGGATGCGGGTATCAGACAGATCAGGGACTATCCGGAAAAGTTGGCTAGTTTTGAAGAAACATATCCGAAATTTTTCGACAATTTAAGGAGGTTTTTGAGTTACGAATGTCGACGTGGAATGTACAATACCGAGCGGAGGTCTTCGTCTGCTTCACTAATCTCACCGACTTCACCATCATTCGCCTCGCATATATCGGCATCATACAAGCGTGATACGTCCCGTTCCAATTCTCCCCCTTCTCCCGCGACGAATATACATTCTCGTCAATTTCCCGACTATGATTCCGACGACAACGACAACACTCCCGAGTCTCTGGTCAACCACTTGATATCATCTCAGATAACTGAACAAGCAATCGAGGATACAGATCTGTATAATAGATTTTTAGATATATTTTTCACGTCTAGACGTTTGATGAATGATGATGAATGGGAGAATGCAGTGTATGATATACTGTCTGACTGCCCTGATTTACTGAGTGAATTGGAGGATATCGTGAAATACGATATTGATATGCAGGGCGACTATGTCGAACTGGTTGGGTATGAAAAAGGAATAATCGAGTAGTGGAATACAGGATTTATTTATTTCTTGTTCATGTAATGACAAGGACTATGAACTATATTGAAAACTTGTAAAAAAGAAGTGATAATAGTAGTTATTACTGAGCAATTAATAGTAACTTATAAGTTAATCCGTTGTCTTGATTAGGTTATATTGGTCACCTTGGACAATTCTATGGTTCCATCCTTCTTGCCCATTTTTCTTTTTACCTTTTTTTCTTTAGGATTACCCATATAGGAACTTTTGTTGTTTGTGTTGATTATAAAATCTTTTCAAATGATTAGATCGATAAAGATGCTGTAGCGTGAATACAGAATTACATAATTGTAAATGGTACAAAAAGGGGGAATACCCAGTTCCTTATCGAATTGCTACGTTATTGGTCACACGGCTTCCAGTAGAGATACACTGCACAATGAAGCTCACCAATTATAGTTAACGAAACGAGTGAAAAATCTCTTGGTGCAGCTCGTGTTATCCGATCAAGTTACTAGCGTAAGGTCTATCTAGGGAGAGGGGAGAGGGGGAGAAGGGAGAGGGGAGAGGGGGAGAAGGGAGAGGGGAAGGGAGAGAGGGAGAGAGGAGAGGGAGGATAAGGCGGAATACTCGGTAATACTATATTTGTCAAGCGTAATAGTCACCCATGTGTGATTATTCGCTAATAGCAGATATGTTATCCCAGCATCCACTGCATTCCAGTTCTGTGGATTGTGCCACGGGGAATACAAAAAAAGCAAAAACAAACATGATTAGACGAATGTCATACAATGCAATACTGAATGATATCGTTATCAGTACAAAAACCCTGTTATTCCGATTACCTATTTGAAATTCACCCAATAATTTGGGGCATGCATGAGAACTCTTGTGTAGCGAAACGTCATGTCTTGATAAATTATTCATGATTTTAATCGAGTTTCCCCATCCTTTACAGCTCTTTACCCTCTCCTTTCTCTCTCCCCTCCCTTCTCTGCCTCTCTTTCCTCTTTTACAATCCTTACAATACGTTCCACGCTAGGCAATCATTACTATTTATCTGTGTTATATCAGATACATTTATAGTTTTTCCGTTCCTTTTTTTTTTTTTTTTTTAACGTTGGCTATATAATAAAACATTCATTCCAGTAACTTCTAAACAATCAGACCCTGCCTCGTCTAATATACCATTCTCTCTCTCTCTCTCCCGCCCCAAGTCTGATGATATACTTAATCTGATATGTGTTAATATCCAAAGGGACGCATGATATTGACATGGGTGATTCAAGAGGTTCAAATGAAGTTTATTGCTTATGGCATATTACTATATACAATTGCCGTGACTCGGGATATTTCGTTGCCGTTTACTACGCAAACGCAGCTATATCCACTATTGCTCTCATTTTTGTCGGTGTAAGTTTAAATTTGAGTGTGATTTCTGTAATTGATAATGATTGTCATGTGATCGTAACAAAGGCGAATTATATTGCTCTGGTTGTAGATAATAGTCTATATGCGCGTAAGGGCACGTCAAAAGCTGGTGCTCTGGAAACATGGTACATTTGCACCTCTGGAAGGATTTCTCCTATTTGTAACAATGTGTTTGACAGGTAAGATAAGAAGAAACATGAAGTGTGCGATTCGATTTTCCAATTAGTATAAATCTAATACCACTTGTCCAATTGTTTGATCAACCCCCCATTTTACAGCACGCATCTCTTGTAGCGTCTTTTTTCTCACAGATGTCTTTCCAACTAATTGGATTTTCAGAGAATTAGTCTCCGACTTTCAATGGATGTTCGCGGTCATTTGTATAGTTACATATCTTGCTGGAATGTAAGTAATAGCAAATTTTTTCTACATATGATTATCGTCTATTAATTCGTGATTATCGCATTCTCCCTACAATCTCTAGTTTCCGCGCTATTCCTCAAATGGAATTCTTCCAACCGTCTCAGGCACGAATTACTAATGTTTACGTCCCGACTCTGTCGGTAATACGTGCTGGCTATTGGCTGATTATCGTTTTCGCGATAACTGTTCCCGAAACGTCTGCAACACTTGCTGGCTACTTCCGCATGCAGAACAATCAATATCTGACTGATATGTTCACTGCCGTCCGACTACTTTGCTATACGGTTTCAAGTGTCTTGATCTCGCTTGGATTTATAATATACGGGAGAATGTTAGTACGTCTAACTAGTGCAAGCTTTATGATTGTACAAGGACGAGGTGCTGTTGAAGGAGACCGGACGTATCCTACAGGAATGTGGGAGCAGGAATCAAGAATGGCCCATGACGTAAATAGGTCGTTACCAGTAATGATTCAATCAGAAAGAGAGCGAGAAGCTGAGAGGGCGCTTCGACAAAAAAAGTTTAAATACGATTTGAGAAGGGTAAGTTGCGGGATGGGAGTGGGGGAATGGGAGTGGGGGAATGGGAGTGGGGGAATGGGAATGGGAGAATGGGAATGGGAATGGGAATGGGAGAATGGGGTTCGCAAAGCCGTAAGCTTGTTTGGCGGTCACAGATTATGATCAGTATAAATATTCTGCTGATGGCATGTCTTTTATTAATTAGATGCGAACATTCAACTACGCAGCTATATCAATATACGGATTTTTCGGCGTTACGTCATTTGCTCTAGCTTTCTGGTATAAACTCATATTTGCAAACATGTTACTCTCAAAGTTGCAGGCATTTGCAGCAAATATTAGTGCTGCATTGGCCGCGCTGACAGTTTTGTTTGCTATCCTTCTCAGGTAATTAATAACACGTCATCGCCAAGTCCGTATCTCGTTTGTTTGATCGTGTCTCTTGATCATGCTAATCCCATATCTCCTGTTTATAGTGAAATGGTGCGGTGCAGAGGTGTGACTGGTGGTACCCGGCAATGACAGTTGCCAATTCAAAAATTGTAATTGATTGTCTTATCTGTGTAATTATTTAATGTAAATAATAGACTTAATAATAACCCCCTATTTTGCATATAATTCACATTAACCATATGTAAACCATAATATCAATTTTTGAAAATTTCTAATTCAGAAATAGAAGCCTCTATTTCCTTGGTAAACAAATCTCTTTAACGCATGTCCATTGTGCAGAATTTTGTGTACAATGGAACGTAAAACGATTATTAATTAATATTAATACTTTGGTCTGTTATTTAAATAAATACACTCTTGTGCGTGGAATCAAAGAAACCCTTCCATTCCATCCCGTATATTCATTCTATTATTTTCAGCGCATGGAAAATTACATGACGCGTTAAACTACCGTGAATAAGGAAGGTATCTATTATCATGGTTAAGAGCCCAACGTCACGAAATAACTGCCTCAAAATATAACCTTATAGCCCAAAGATAGCAGCTCAACCCATTAATGCGATTATGTAACTCGTTACGCGACTATTTGTAGATCAACACTCCATATGGTAGACCTTTATTCGCTGTAGATAAATGGAGAGTCCACGAATTTGTGGATTTATTGTATCGATATGAAATATTATTGGTTTAAAAAATAAATTATATAAATCCAAATCTTGCAATATTGATATTTGGTATTTTTTCTATATCCACATGCTCTTTTGTTTTTTACAAATTTGGCAAAGGGTAATAGTAATTCTAGCCTTTCATCAACATGATATATTACAGTGTTGATGTAGAGAATCTGGTTAAGACATTATTTGATTGATGGTTACTGATTCCAGTCATCAAATAAAGAAGTAGTTTATGTATTTCAATAGGCACAACTGATGCAGAGGATATGGCAAGCTCTTTCTCTACTCGTGCTGCAAATAACGATTATTATTATACATAACAACAAATTCTATATTCGTTGAATCGACCCAGTTTGACTAGTTAATTAAATCCTATCGCTCCTCTTTATAAAAGGTTTATTATTGGTATGAGTCTTTAAATTGTTAGATTAACAATTTTAGACACTTAAAATAAAGGATTGTATTTTGTTCAAAAATATACTTTTTTTATTTCAATGCTTTATGAACTAAGTGATTTCATACGTTCTAAATTTGGTCAGGTACAAAAAACTTGGAGCATTAAGAAGTGGAACTTTTCTGTGCTCGATGCGCGGATAATTAGAAATTGTTAGCGACCCGGTATAAGTTCGAATGTTCAAAATATTAAAGTTCAAAAGTGTAATGGTTCGAAAAGTTGTCTAATTCGGACGCGAAGATTAAATAAATGTCCTTATTGTTTATGATTAAAATCCAACCGTTGAAATAATATTGTTCTAACTGATTTTACATGACGACTAAAAACACAACGAGTTTGATTTGTCGATGCAATTAACGATTTATCAAAAGTGCACTAACACTCGTATTCATTGTCCATATAAATTGTCAACGTCGATTTCTTTTATTATTATTGTGAAGGTCATGCTATTTTTGATATTACTATTCGTACGAGTTTTTCCGTCGACTCGGATTGAAAGTCTTAATGGCTATTATTTCTCGTGGCGAATGATTAGTAACTTACTCGGCTAGTATGTCTGAAGTAATGGTTCCAGTGAGTGATGAGCGAAATATGTTAGTTATTGATTATGATTACATATACGGCACGATAAAATCTATGTACGATTTGAATTTGGATATACCCATCAGCATGCGGTTGGAACGATGGAGCATGCTTTCTTGCGGTGAAACACGTTCCGCTTATTATCACTGAAGAAGTAAATCGCCATCGCCTACAGACATCTGAATATAGACGAACGCGTACCTAAAGCGATGACGATTCATGTCAAGGGTAGAGAGTGCTGATATGAAACTGAGAATAATATATTCAATGTTACGCGGAGAATCACTATTACCGAGACTAAATCAGAGACAGAGCAAACGAATAATGTATGATGCTCGTTTGCTATTTATTTCGGAATTATTTGATTGATCAAAAATTCACTCCAACTCTTGTATTCTGCAGCCGTTTGTATTACTTGAATAATAAACAGTCTGAGAGGGCTAAAGTGGGGAATTTCTATAAAAGACCTTTTTCCCAGACGGAAAAAGTAAGTTGGTTACTGCTGAAGGGTAAAAACTGAAAACAGAAATACTTCCCGGGTGGCTTCATCTCTTGTAATAAAATATTAAACATCCTAAGTTATTAATTTCTATATCAATTTTTTTGATCGATTTAATAAAGCTAATGAAAATAGTATACAGTATCAGAAACTGCTTCTGCACGGGTTAGCTCATTCAATAGCATATTAATCATATAATTCTAACAAAAAATATGTCTAACGCTTTTCTTATGTAAACGCGACGGGCTAAACATGAGGGTTCTTCTCATCATCACTTCATTATGGACCAGTGTTAGCCACTACGCATAGGTTAACCACCGATCCGGATTCAGGGAAGCATATTAAGGTGTTACGTTAAACTCTGTATACTTTTTCTTAGTTCAGTGTTTGAGATATTAACTCTTCGCAAGGTGTCGAGCGTAATCTTATTATAACGGAATAAAGTAACTCATAAAATCGATTAAAGATGTTAAGGATTGTGGCAAATTAAAACTTGAATCCGAACATGTATGGTTAGAATTGGAACATTGGCTTCAGAAATCAAAATAAAATAAAATAAAATCAAAGACTTTGTAGGAACTGCTTTACTGGAGGAATGGACCAAAATTTCGGAAAGTGTATATATGAATTTAGTTAAAAGCGTGCCAAGAAGAATTGAAGCTGGGTATCGCCAATAGCGCGCGGGCGGCCAACCAAATATTAAATTGGTAATAGATTACTAGAAAGTCGTTCTGCAAATTTTTATTAAATTACTTATTTCATGGGAGTGTATGTTGGGAAGCAACTTGTAATTCGTATTCAAGAGTCAAAGAGTTTACTGTTCTATAGCAAAGTAACATATTATGGAGATAGCATGCCTTATGTATTACATCCGGTTACTTTCGGAATTTCGCAAGGAGACCATCTATCTAAGAAAACGCGAATTAGCTGTAACATCACAAGATCAACAGCCAAGCCTGTCTCAAATACCTCGGATAGCAGGTTCACATGGCTTATCAGCAAGAAAATTACGGATTGCTTGAAGAACAACGTTCATATAGCAAATGAAGTCTATGTTTTCGTATTGGCAGTATTTAATGTTACACATGATTTTCACTCACTGAACACTTGAACTGCATCGAAAATCTTTTGCTTCAGGAAAATGTCAGGGGCAATTGACAGCTTGATTCAATCCTCAAGTTATCTTACACGATTACGATGGATTCCTTGTTCTGAAATCACTGATATCAAGTCAACTCCAACAGACGCTATCTATTACGCTATCCGCAAAGAAACGTTTTATGATGATAGAGTTGATGAAACGCCGATAATGCTGCTATGCCTTGGAAATAACAAAGAATGTACACCAACACTTGTGAGTGAGTTTGCTAGAATATACTCACTTCCAACACACAAGTACAATAATGATGTC